CCCCGCTCCCCCTGCATCCACACTCTCACTGCTTCCGCACTCTCACTGCATCCACATTCTCACTGCTTCCGCACTCTCACTGCATCCACACTCTCACAGCATCCACGCTCTCACTGCATCCACACTCTCACTGCATCTACACTCTCACTGCATCTGCACTCTCACTGCATCCACACTGCCAGCGCTTCAGCAGAGCCTTCAGAGCTGTCATCTATGACATCTTGAATGTGTCTCCTCTTGCTCTTGCCTGATGGGCCTCAGTGAAGCCAGTTCCCAGCCCCACTCCTCAGAGAAGCTGAACAGTGTCTGGGGAGCCCCTTCTCCACTGCACTGTGAGTTTCCTACTTGTCTCTTAGCACCTGAGGCTACTAGGGTAGGGGGCGGGTTCTATGCCCACTCCCATGCACTGTTGCCACCACCATGTCCCTAGTTTAGCAAGCTACCTGACAACATCCTTGCAGTTCAAAAGCCAGTTCAAATGACCAGATATCAGAGTGCCAGCTATCCTTTTGGGTGGGCCCAGAGGGTTCTATTCCAGTGGCTCAGCCAGGCCTGGGAGGGCAGGACAACTCTCCCCTCTGTGACACTGTCCCTTAGAGCTGCAACCCTCACAACTTCTTCCCCACAGCCATAAGCAGTCCTGAACAAAGTCCAGGAGGTGGGCTGGGAAACCAAGGGCTGGCTTTCTGTGGGTCTTGACCATTTACTCTGTCACTCCTGCCTAGGCACCCAGTATCCACCCCCACAACCTCCAGCTGGGCCTGCTCTGCCCACCCTGGGACTTCTCTCTACTTCCTTGAACTTGGCAGATGTTCAGGCCTCAGGCTTGCTGAATCTGACTCTACAGAGTTCGGTCAGGTTTGAGGTGTCATGTTAGGGCCAAGTGTATTTATGTTTTGGTAAGGCAGTGGACACACCGGAACTTGTAGCTTTACTCAGAATCTACCTGGCCCCAGGGGTACTCACCTCCACCCTGTGCTGCAAGAGGGTAGGTTCTGAGGCCAAACTCTGGGAATATTCCTTCCGGTGCACTGTGGGTACAAAGGCAAGGGCAGGGGCAGCAGGAGTGAGGTAATGCTTGAACAATTGCCGGGGCAGTGGAGGATATGGGGTTCAGGGAGCTTGATCCGGAGGGGAACTGGGCAGGGGAGGGGAGGCAGGGAGCTTACAGTAGATAGCTCTGCTGCTGGGCCGGGACATGTCGACACTGCTGAGGACAGCTTCCTAGAATCACAATGAATCAGAGACAGTCATTAGACTAGGGACAGAAATACAAGGTCCATCTGACTGCTGTTGCTCTGACCTGGAAACTCTGTGACCACATCTGAAGCCCTTAACTCCAGGGGACCTATTCAGAGTCATCTGCATCTAACACCCTGCCCAAGAAGTCTTGTTAGGCTTGGAAGCCATGGGCCAGGGAAGAAAGGGCCTGGGGCAGGGGCACAACATCGATGGCCCGGCATGATTTGAATGCCGGTTCAGATCTTACTCTAGGGTTAGATGTAAAAGGTGCCATGGATGAGTTGCTTCTGTGCGGAGGGCAGAGGGCTCAGTTGCTCTCCTTGCCATAGCAAGCCTCTTGTTCAAGTCTGTTTTAATTCTACAAACAGGGAAGAAGCTCCCACTAATGATGGTGCCAGGAAGAATGTATGTGAGTATGACTCTCTCTCTCTCTCTCTCTCTCTCTCTCTCTCTCTCTCTCTTGTGTGTGTGTGTGTGTGTGTGTGTGTGTGTGTGTGTGTGTGATACAGAGACAGATGACAGACAGGCAGACAGACAGACAGACATATATGGAGAGGTATGCTGTGCAGAACTTGCTGGGAACCTACGCTTATGTAGTGTCTGACCACCACGCCTGCTCTCTTCCTTCAGGTGTTCCGAATTCTTCCCCAGACACCCTCCCGCCCAACTCTCTAAATCAAGCTCATAGCCAACTTGACTGGTAAAATATTCTTTAACCACCACCTGCCCAGAGTGTGCCCAAATGCTATTTTCAGCATTGCCCATTCCTCGCCAACAACAGGAGTGGTCACAGCAGCCCCGACATCACTCTGAGCCTGCTGCCAAGCCCCTCCTGACCCTACTTCCTTTAGTCTTCACCACTCTCTCTCCACTGGTAGTTCTTCAGCACCAATGGTGAGCACCACTGTAAGGTCACCTTCAGTGACCCAGCTAATATTCAAAACAACCCCAGAGCTGGAGCCATTACCCCCTCTTCTCAGATGAGGACTCTGATATTCAAAGAGGACAACAGGCCTAGGAGCACCGCGACTGTTGAATAGGGAAATGATCCAGAACCGTCTGGCTTACAAATGTGTCCCTGGGGCCTAGAACACACATCTTTTGATATGGAGTGGAGTTAAATGTCATGAATTTGTATGTGCTGGGTGTATGGAGGAGTCAAAGGAGCGATTGATTGTGTGCATTCGTCATGACTTGAATATCTCCATGACTCTATCCTTATCTGCATGGTGCTCTTCAGCTGTGTGCCCTGACCAAAGTGTAAGGAAGCGCCCATACTTGTTTATCGGGACTGTTATGAAAATGACGGAGATCTATTAAGGTGACTCACAGGTGGAAAAATTATTTGTCAGTGAGCGTCATGGGAACACAGAGGAGGCGGCTGATCTCTGTTCCCCTCCTTGGGAGAACCCCTTTCCTAGATAAGAGCTAGTGGTGCTGGAAGCCTGGCCCTTTCCTCTGCCTGCTACCTCCCTGGCCTGTGGCATTGCATTCCCGCTTATAAATGGAAGAAAGAAGAGCCCTGCTCTGCTCAGCTCTGCCCTGCTCTGCCCTTTCCCACCGGTGTGGTTCCTGTGGGCTGGCAGAGGTAGTTCAATAGTTCCTGCTAAAGACCCTACATTGCAGGGCTGAGGTGCTGCTTGACCTGCCTGGCCCTTTTTAGTGTCAGGCATTGGCCTTCGCTCTCCCTTGTGTAGGTATATAAAGCAAGGAAGGGGTATCTACATGGCTAACCCTGGGGGAAGCCCCTTGTTCTTCCTCCAGTCAGTGGCTAAATCCCTGGGGGTTAATCCTTCCTAAATCTGAGAAGAGGCTGAGAGATGCCCCAACCCTGGGAAGCCACAGGGATGCCTGTGTTAGCCCCAGGATCTCCTATCCTTGCTATTCCCTGGAGATAGTCTCTTACCTGAGTACCAGTGTAGCTGGATGTCTGGTCCCCCAGGAGGCTGATGGTTGAGCCAGTGGTCCAGTGTTGTTGGAGCGAGCACTGTTTGGCCTGTCTGCCAGCTGCCTCAGGCAGAGACCTACTGAAGATCAGGTGGCCTGTGAGGGAGGAAGCAGGCTTTGAGGAAGCCACACCTGTGGTCTTTGGACTCTGGTGGGTGGAGAAGCCTCTCAGGCCACCAACCGCCCAGCACTGAAGTGGACCTGAGGAAGTGTCTGTGCCGATAGGCGTGAGAGCTTGACCAGAGACCCCTGCTTCCCAGCTTCCTCCTTGTTGGCCTCTGACCTTGGGTGTGGCCCCTCATGTCCCTGCTTTTTCCATATCTCCTCTGGGGCCCTGGCTAGCATCAGGTACTGGGGGAACAAAGAAGAAAAGGCACACGTGGTCTCATGAGCCTGTTTTCTGTGTTAGGGGCAGGCAGGCCTCAGACGGACCAGAGGCTCACGGAAAGCTTTGCATTGGTATGTGTGTTTTATGCTTATGTACTGCACCCAGCATGTGATCATTGTACCCAGGCCATGCCTATGAATAGAACATTGCTTGTCAGAGAAGATGGGGTGGGGCCCAGGGCCACTTGGGCATGACACACAGGGCTGAGGCTTCTTTCAGGGTTCATCCTGGTCATGTCCAACTTCTGTCCCCTGCCACTCAGTAGGAGCCCTGCCTTCTAGTCACCCCTGTTCTCTATTCTTCCTTTCCTCACCCTGTCTCATGGCCCCAGGCTCTAGTGGATGCCTTCAGTAAAGACGGGTAGCAAAGACCTCCCTTTGCCACTGTTCAAGAACCTGCCTAGTTCATGCCTTTTGGTGTATCTAAAAAACCTCCTGCGATACCTGGGGCAGGCCAGACTCCTTGCCTTTGGGAACTCACAGCTCAGTGTAGGAAGCCAGGAATAAACAGACATCAGAGGACCAAGGCAGAAGGAGAAGGATGGGGAATGGACAGGGAAGGCAATGTGGAAGCTGAGCCTCTTGGGACAGAGCCTCGGGCCCTACTGGCCTTAGGATCTGTAGTGGAGACTTCTTTGGAGCATAGAACTGTAGCCTGCAGTCAGGACTCTGTCCTTGGCTTCCCCAGGACCTACTGAGATATGTTAGCCTGCTACCCACCACTCATCCTACACTGTCCTGATGGCCCAGAGCTCAGGGATTGGACCAGGAAGGGATGTCTCCCACCTGAATTGGTGTGGGCCCCCAGGAAAGTCCCTTGGGCAGTCAATTTCTAGGGTTTAGGGGTGAAACTGCCTGCTGGATCAGCACCCAGCCATGATTTTGTGTGAACTAGGCCTCCCTGGGCCTTTGTTTCTCTGAGTTTCAGCCACATGGACACCTTTCCGGTTTGAATAGCCTGTTTTTCATTGCCTTCCCAGGCACAGCTCCATCAAGGCCACAGTCATATTCCATTCTTATCCCTGGCTTGGGTGACCAGACCCTGTCCTTCCTATGGGCCTCTCCCTAAGTCAATGTGATCATATCAGGGATTCCCTTAGGAGGCCTGGGGATGGGTTGGGCAGAGACTCATCCCATAACAGAGACCTGGCTGACGTATTTGGGCAAAGAAGGATGAGTGTCACCAGGCACTGTCAGTGTTGTGAATTCCATGGTACCCTTTGGATGTCCTTAGAGACTGCAGATTTCATCAGATAGGAGCCTGGGAAGGTCAGAAGTCGGGGTTGGGGTTTTTTTCATGTCAGGCATTGTGGAAATTGGCTAGAGTGAAGCATAGAGAGGCCAGGCTACTCAACCCTTGGGATGGATAATGGTGGTTCTTCATGAAGACACCTCTGGCTCCCAAGCAACCCTAGCTGTGGAATGAGGAGCTGGGGCTTGGGTGGGAAGGAAGCAGAACTCAGAGAGCATCTCCCTGAAATTATGAGGCTTAGAGACCTGGGGACCTCACTTTGTCCAGACTTCAATTCATTTATTCCTCAGCTTCCTGCCATGCACTGTGCCAGGTGCTAGAACACACTTGGAGGGTCACAGCCACCTCAAAATGAACCCTGAGTTCATCACCTCCCTCCATCTCTGCCCCCTCTTCCATATTGCCACTTCTGTGTGTCCCGGGGGGATCTGGCGTCATTGCTTAGTCCTCCTTCAGTCCCTACATGAGTCCCATCACCTCTTGTGTGGGTCCTACCTCCTCCATGCGTGGCAGATCATCCCCGCTCTCCCACTGTGTGACTGTCCCCTCAGGCCCTGTCAGACTTTCTGTCTCTGACTACGACAGTGCCCTCACTTGGAACCTTGCATCCACCCTGCTTCTTCTTAACCCTCCCTCTCAGCTGTGGATGGATGAGGATCTTCCTCAAGTGGGAATTTGATTATCCATTTTTGAACCCAAACCACTTCAGCTCCAGCTTGAAACCCCAACCCCATCACAGCCGGCGAGGCCCTTCTTGAAGTCCAGGCTCCTGCCGTAAATACGCCTTATCTCCCACCACCCGCAGCAGCTTGCACTTTACCCTCCACTTTGAGGACACCTTGTAATCCCATTTGAGTCATGGCTCTGCACCTGACTAGGTGTTCTCTCTGCTGGGATGTCTACTGGAAACGCCTGCGGTATTTCAGCTCTTCGGATGGCTCTTGCCTTCTGAGAAGCCTTCTCCCTGCCCAGGGCTGTGATGATTCTGGCCCTTGGTTCCCAGATACCTGTTGCATGTGCTATTCTATGACTACCTGTCTCCCATGAAGGGCCATGTCCCCAGATGAGAAGAGAAGGGCTTGTAAACAACTGTTGCATGGTGGTGTGGAAGGCACCAATGGCCACGCTCTGTTTGAATGCACCAGGAAGACACTCTTAAGGAGGAAGGGATGGGGTCAACCCTTCCGGCCAGATAGGAGTCCAGCCAAGAGAGGAAGTGGGAAGGATTGTCAGGTAGTGGCTGTGATGATTCTTTTGGATGGATTATTCTTTTGGAGGTGAAATGCATAGTGAGAAGCTGGGTGGGGGGGGCACAGCCCAAACTCACCCCCTCCCTTTCTCTCTCTCTGTCTCCGTCTCTCTGTGTGTGCAT